ACAGTGCGATTGGCACAGGACAGAGCGGAGTTTAGGGCTGTTGTACATAGGGTCACTATGAGTCGCAGGCGACTCGACGGCACATAACAACAACAACATATACTGTATGTATCTGATGTCCTGCAAAGCATTTTTTTCCTTATAGGAAAAGGGCCCCATATATTGCTTATCTAACTCGTTGTCGACAAGGACTCCAGACCACACAGGCTCACCTGGAAAGACTATTGCAGAGGGTTTTGCGGGACAAGGAAGTAGCCAATCGATACTTTACTACTGTCTGTGTGAGGCTACTGCTTGAGAGCAAAGAAAAGAAGATCAGAGAATTCATTCACGGTAACTAAATACCTCACCGGCTATATTTTATTGACAACTTTCTGGAATTTTTTGTGTTGTGTTTTTATAGTACTGACAATGCCTTAGAATAATGGTTCTTTAGATACCCAGAGTTATTTATGGATTCCTAATGATTAAACTTTGAAGGCTAACAAATAAGTTGCTTGTTTTTCCTGGGTTGATTATTTATAGTTTGGTGTTTTTTTTTAAAGTGATAAAACTCGTAAAGGTTTTTGTCTATAAAACTTTTCTCACTTTAAAAAATAAATTATAACAAACCCTTGCTCCTAAATTTTCATGCATTTTTTATTTTCTCTTGGTTTTAATGGCTACATATTCTCCTAAAATAAGCCAAGCACAGGCTTTTATTTAAGGTTAATAATCTGCATATAGTTATTATAAAATTATTTCTATAACCTAATTTTAAAATTTATTCCAGTAATTTATTTAAACGTTTTATTCTTTTTGCACTGGAGACTTTCAGAAGCTCACAGCAGCTGATGATAAAACTGCTCAGGTGGAAGACTTTCTGCAGTTTCTTTATGGTGCAATGGCTCAGGACGTCATATGGCAGAATGCAAGTGAAGAACAGCTTCAAGATGCTCAGTTGGCCATTGAACGAAGTGTGATGAATCGAATTTTCAAGCTTGCTTTCTACCCTAACCAGGATGGGGACATTCTTCGTGACCAGTGAGTGCTTTGAAGCATAATGTCCTCTAGACTCACCCATGTTGTATAGTGTTTCACTAGTTTTTCAATGCCGCATAGAACTCAGTTGTATGAATGTACTGTGTTCTCTATCCATCCATCCATTTGTTTATGGGCATTATGACTGTTTCCATCCCTGTGCTGTTAGGAATAATGCTGCAGTAAACATATGTGTGCATATATCTGTTCTTGTTGTATCTCTTTTTTTCTTTGGATGTTTCGCAGTAGTTGAATAGCTAGATCAAGTTAGATTTTCAGCATTCTGTGAAAAAAAAAAAAAGCAAATTGCCTTCCATAGTGGTTGTATCATTTTATGTTCCCCCCAGTATGCTCTGAATGAGACAGAACATAATTTTTTTTTAATTTTTTTGTTTATTTTTTTAGGTCCTGCAAATGCAGGACTTCAAAAAATTTGTTTAAAACTTACCATTGTTCCTCTCCATAGAAATCTTTAGTAAAAGGATTTAAACAATCTGAAGAGAAAGAAAAGTATGAGACAAAACATAATTTTTCAAATCACTATTCTATTAGGGTGTTACAAAGCTTGACAAACTAATACCTGCTTATTTTATATATTAATTATATACTAAAGTTCTGTACTTTAATACAGAAACAGCCACAATTGTGTGACGTGTGAATTACATCTCATTAAAGGTGGATTTTTTTGTTTTGTTTTGATTTTTCTTAACCCTAAGAAAAATCTGTATTTGGAATAGTTAGTGGTTATTTTTGAATAGTGACATTATGAGTGATTTAACGTTTTTCTTTTTCCTCATCTCTTATTACTGAGCACTGTGTCATAGCCCTCTTGAGATTGTTCCCATGCTCCTTGCCAGTGGCTTTCTGTGCCAGTGACTCAAGGGGACCCTGTAACAGAGTCTCAGAAAGGGACATCAGTGTTTATAGAAGATACTGCACATATTCGTGAGAGAATTTGCTTTTCTGTAAGAGGATTAGAATCATTTTAGTGTGACTCCCTCACTTGTTAAAATCCGAGGGTCTTCTAGCCCACCTCAGGTTTCTATAATGTGTTTATCATCTAGTCCTTCTTTCTCTTTCTCTCCAGAGCATGAGTCTTTTTTTTTTAAGAGTTCAGGATTTTTTATTGAACATGTTACAAAAGGAGTTTAGTCAAAAAGACCAAATCCCATGTCATCACCAGACTCTTCAGATTCTTCTTTCTTTGCTTCCACTTTCTTCTCCTCAACTGGAGCAGCAGCAGTGGGAGGGACAGGTCCTCCAGCCAGTACGGCCCCCGCCGCTGGGGCAGATCCACCAGCGCCCACATTCCAGATGAGGCTCCTAATGTTGACATTTGCCAGGGCCTTTGTAAACAGGCCAGGCCAGAAGGGTTCAATGTTGACACTGGCTGCCTTAATGAGGGCATTGATTTTATCCTTTGTGACTTTCATCTCATCGTCATGCAGGATGAGGGCCGAGTAGACGCAGGCAAGTTCAGAGACGGAGGCCATGGTGCGTTGGTACTAGGCTGAAGGCTGCCAGACGTGGTGCTAGTTGCCGGATGAAGTTAGGGCCTCACCCCAACATGGCCTTAGCTTCCTCAGAAGAACCAAGCACCTTAGCGGCAACTGAGGAAAGAGGCCAGAGCGTGAGTCTTGAGCTTCAAGCATAAGATAAGGAGTAAGAACATTTATGTTGTACTTCCAAGAGCAACCTTGAAGTAGACTTTTCCTGCTCACCTGTGTGTGGCATATCTGGAGCTTTTAGAAGAGAGAGTCACCAAAATGTTTTGGAACCAGAAAGGATGTTTTAGCTTCTTCCTTTGTAGGCTTAGGCAAATTCTATACCTTATTAAGCATAATTATTTTCATCTACAAAATGAGGAACACTAGAAACACTGTGTGTTTTCAAATTATGAAAGGCATCAGGATTATATCAGTTCTCCATATGTATTTAATTTGTATGCTGAGAAGATTATTTGAGAAGCTGGACCCTCTGAAGATGAATGTGTCATTAGGGTCGGAGGAAGACTCAGCAATAACCTTTATGCATATGGCACAGCCTTGCTTGCTGAAATTAGGAGGACCTTGAAGCACTTTGCTCTAACTGCAGAAGATCAGAGAATGCAGCCTTCAATATGGATTGCATCTCAACGTCCAGAAAGCAGAACTCCTAGCCACTAGACCAAAAGGGAACATCACAGTAGATGGAGAAAAGATTAAAACTGTCAGTGACTTCATCTTACTTGGATCCCCAATTAGCACTTAATACTAGCAGTCAGGAGGTCAGGAGACATGTTGCACTGGAAAGGGTGTAGTCAGGGACCCTTCAAATTATTTATGAGCAGTGATGTCAGTTTGAGGACTAAGATGCCTTTGATTCAGGCTATAGTCTTTTCAGGCACTTGCTATGCATCTGAGTGCTAGACAGTGACTGAGGGTGCCAGAAGAATTGATACCTTTGAATTGTGGTACTGGAGAAGAATGCTGAATATACCACAGACTGCCAGAAGAACAAACCAAAATGTCTTAGAGAAGGTGCAGTCAGAGTACTCCTTGGAGGCAAATATGTTGAGGCTTCTCCTCACATACTTCGGACATGTTGCTCGGGAAGGCTATTCATTGGAGGAGGACATCATGCTTGGGCAGGTGGAGGCATAATGAGAGAGAGAAAGATCCTCAACTAAGTGGATTGACACAGTGACGGCAGCGATGGACTTAAAGGTGTTGGAGATTGTGAGGCTGGGACAGGATAGGACAGGGTTCAAATCTGTTGTTCATAAGGTCACTGAGAGCCTTATTTGATTCCATGACACCTAACAGGAACAGCAGAATGAAGCGTTAGATATTCTCAGAGTTTCTTTTCCACCTGACATCTGAGACCTTTAGTTTCTGGTTTTTGATCCCTCTATTTTCTCAACTTGTTTATTAAATAGTGTGTCTAAGCAACTCTTAGATTAAGGACTCTTCTCCTTTCTCTTTTTGAATGCTATCACGGACTATATACTCCAGGAAGTATGACTTCCCAACCTCTCTGCATCCCCTTGACATTTAAAGTTTTAAAGTCGCTACCAAAGATGAGGCTTTTTTGTCTCTCCCATTGATGCTGTTGTTGCTTTTAGGTGCCAAGCAGTCAGCTGTGACTAATATAATATTTTTTTACATGAAAAATACATAGACTCTCAGCTGTACCTGTAATCTGTCAGGGTGCTCTGGTGGTGTCATCTATAGGGAATATTGTGCTGCTGTCCCAAGGGTAACACCTCCTGGCAGTTTGAATCCACCAGCTGCTCTGTGGGAGAAAGATGGGCAGTCTCCTTCGTTGCAATTTATAGCCTCTGAAAACTTGCTGGAGGGATTAACTAAGAGTAGGTTCAGACCCAAAAATAATGGGTTTGTGTTTATTTAGAAATATTCTAAAATGTTTTTTATGTTTTAAGAAAGTAAATGGTGACTTTTTATGTACCATATGTTTTCAGGGTTCTTCATGAACATATTCAGAGATTATCCAAAGTAGTAACTGCAAATCACAGAGCTCTTCAGATCCCAGAGGTAAGACAGCTTTATATGCCATGTGTGGCATTATTAATTATCAGTTATTTATAATACTGTACATGTATTACTGATTTTTCTAGGACCTAGAATATGGTAAAAATAGAAAACATTTGCACTGAATAAGATTCATACTAACTATAAGGTTCTTAAAGTTGCTTCCAGAGGCTGACATTTTCAGTGTGGAGAGAGACCTCAGTGGTGGTGAGGAGGGAGGGAGGAAGGGCCAGCAGGGGAAGCCCCTTCCTGGTGCCACTGGAGTGCAGGCAGGGCGCTCACTGCCCTGCACTGGTGCTGACTACCCAGACATCTGCAGAAGCTCCCCACTGGAAGAAAGGGTACTGGTGGCACTCCAGAAAAGATAAAACCACTATTGCGGGAAGAGGAGTGGAATATAGAATGTGGCCTCAAAATGATCTTTTTGTTATTAATATTCTTTCCCCCTTCCCAGATACAAAATAAGGGAAACAGGAATATTTCCAGTATTCAATTTTCTGTTTGTGTCATGAAAATTTCTGGTAATGGGATGTTACTTACTAACATTTTAAATTGTTTTTATGTTTTAGAGCCTGCTATTTCTAGAACTACTGTAACAAGAGTTACAGTAAAGTATCTACTTATAATTGCTGGTTCTGCACTTGGAATCAGTTATTAAATGTGCAGAAGTTCTGTTTAACAAAGATAATTGAAATTTTATAAATCTGTAGTCTATCTTACTATATTAATTTTCTCTCTTAATGGATCTCTGGGTTGCTTTTTTTTTTCTTTCATTTTTTAAATATTTTATTATTTTTTGTGTGTATGGTCAGATCGGATCTGACTGGTACAGAAGGAGATTGCCCCTCCTTTTCCAGCAGAGCATCTCGTGGACTTGAACCGCATACCTCTGGGATTGCCACTAGGCCACCAGAGCTCCCTATTTTTAAATACAAAGCAAATTACAGTTTGAAACAGAACTTCCCTCTAGAGTAGAGTGGGAAGAAGTGCAGTGTGAGTTTCCTGGAGAAAGGAAAAGACCCACATTTGTGGAGGTTGCTGTGGTCCCTCCCTGTGGCTGCCGTTAGAATATTTGTGGTCTCATTTAGGTTTATCTCCGAGAGGCACCATGGCCATCTGCACAATCAGAAATCAGGACCATAAGTGCTTACAAAACTCCCCGGGACAAGGTGCAGTGTATCTTGAGAATGTGCTCTACTATTATGAACCTTCTGAGCCTGGCCAATGAAGATTCTGTCCCAGGAGCAGATGACTTTGTTCCAGTGTTGGTGTTTGTGTTGATAAAGGTAAAGCCCTTTTACTTCTGTTGTTTAAGTGAGCTATTTGGTGTTAATGAGCTGGGTGATATAAGGCTTCATGGGGTGGTAAAGACATTGAGTTTTTCCAGATTTTAAGTTCTGTGGTATTGGTATCCAGGAGGAATGTGCCTAATGTTATTTGTTCCATCCAGAAGCAATGGTTTCCAAAAGAAGAAATGGGAGGACTCTATTTCCTGAACATTGTCAGCTTTTTTTTTTTCTATAATTATATTTTATTAATTTTCATAAACATTTACAGAGATTTTGGGTTTCCATTCATTCATTGTTGCACTATTCTCTCTACCCTCCTCCCAGTTTGTTCTTGTCCAAATGCCACAGTGCTTGTCAAAGCCAGTTCTGATTAATCTTCTTTGTCAGTGTGTCCTTTGCCATTCCCTATCACTCCTCCCTGAGAGAGACTTCACCCCATTGTCAGCTTTTAAAGCAGTACCTTGAGTTCTTGGTTAAAGCATGTCAACTCTACAAGTTCAGGGATTGAGATCTGTAATTCACTAATACATCCTTAGCACGTAAACAGTGCCTGCCTCAGTATAATTATGGAGTGAATGAATGAGGACAGGTTAATTTTCCATACGTGTTCTTGTTGTCTTCTTTTCATACCGGCACATAGACTAATTTACCGTCATCCCTTTCCTGTATTTTATTTTGTGGTTGCAGAAACTAACTTTTTTAAATTTTATTTTTGTTATTTTTTGTGTGTGTACCGTCAAATCGGATCTGACTGGTACAGGAGGAGATTGTCCCTCCTTCTCCAACAGAGCATCTGGTGGATTCAAACTACGTACCTCTGGGATTGCAGTGCAGCTTCTTGCCACTAGGCCATCAGAGCTCCCAGAAACTTCATTTTTTAATGTGCTAATATTTATTGTCCTTTCTCAACTTTCAGATGAAGCCATTACCATTAAAAAGGCTCATTTAGTGTATTTTTTGAGGGGAGGACTGGAGTTTGGGTGTACAGAGCCAATAAGTAACAACGGCCTCAGTCACATGTTCCAGTCGGCTCAACTTGTCTGTTGACTCTTGGTACTTCATCTAGAGATTAGCATATATTAAAGTAATAAAAAATTTGATTCATAGATGATTTTTAGAGCAGTTCTTAATTTAATATTTTAGACCTGTTTGGTGGCACATAGTTTTACTCATTCTTCATGTTTGCGGTGTTTCTGCAGTCAGGTTCTGATAGGATGAGTCTGTAATCAGCCCTCAGTTCCTTTGACTGCTGCTCTTTTCTTTTGCACACATGACTGAGCGAGTGTGTAACCTGGGTTATTTTTTTCATTGTTCTAATGCTACTAACAAAGATTGGGGTATACATATTACTTACAGAAAATAATCCGGACATCTTTTTGTAAAATGCCCATCTTTGTTTTCTGTTCTGTTTTTACTTCTCTAGGCAAACCCACCCTGTTTGCTCTCCACTGTTCAGTACATCAGTAGCTTTTATGCCAGCTGTCTGTCTGGAGAAGAGTCCTATTGGTGGATGCAGTTCACAGCAGCAGTGGAATTCATCAAAACCATTGATGACCGGAAGTGATCAAGACCAAGGCCCTCCAAGGCAGCAGACTAGACTGTTAGTTAGGAAAACAGATCTCTGAGAAAATTTACCCGCTGCTTTGAAGGCTGAAGATTGCTTTTGTATAATACTGTACAGCGTTCAGACATTTTAAAACAGATCTTTACTAAACAAATTAATGAGCTAACAAGCAGTTTTTCTTTGGGCTCTTTTCCTTTCAGAGTTGCATATTTTGTTACTTTTCTTTTGTTCCCCAGTAGAGACTAGCACTGCAAAAAGGGACCACATTGTTCAGGTATTTTGAAATACTTTAAAAAAAAACTCCAACAAAATGCAAACTCTTAGAAAATTCTTTGATATCCATCCATGGACGTACCTTCTTTCCTTTTCTGGGAGGAAAAAAGGGAGAATGAAGGAGAGTATATGTCTTTAAAGATGCTGTCTAACTTGTATGCATCTGATGGAAGTGTCGGTTGCACTGAGGATTATAGTGGTGGTGATAATAGTGGCATTATCTATAAATATGCTCACCTAAATAAGAAACTAAGAAGGAAATGTAAATATAATATATATTTATATTTGATGTAATAAGAACATCTTCGGATTCTAATAAACAAGGAATATTACTGATAGTAGGTTGTGGCATACCCTCTTATGAGATGGTTTCCTTGACAAAGTTAAGCTGAGCTTAAAAGAGAAAAAAAAACAAAACACAACAAAAACACAGGAGTATTTATTAATGTAAAACAATTTCTCAAACTTCATGTGTAGTTTGATGTGCAGGCTGCTTTTGATGAAGAGTGTAAAAGTCACTGAGGAAGTCACTCAGACATTTCTCCCTGGGACAATTCAGCACTTGCACATAGGTGATAGACTCTGTTAATCACTGTACATTATACTAAAAGGAAAAGTAGATATCTAATACTTTATTGTGGTACTTCTCATCTAAAATACTAAATATGTTATAGAAACCCCAACCAGAGCTCCTTACAAAATTTTAATTGTAATATATTTTTTGATGATTATTCACATTGAATGCACAGTCCAGGAATTCAGTGAATGTCATTTTTTTAAAAACTAATTTGTATTGTTTGCTCTAGTGATACAGGTTTTACTAGTGATAAACTATTTTAATCAACCATACTATTCTTATGGAAAAAAAAATCTATTTTGGCAGGTTTTTGTGCCTTTATTTCCCTCTTCTGGAAAAAACAAAACAGTATGTGTTTTCACTAGTTTGGTTTGCATTCTTTATCAGTAATTGATCCAGGAATAGGTTTTAATGCCTGAAGAATTGGCCAAGGAAGCACACAATGCTTCAAGCACAAGTTTTACACACAGGCCATTGCCAACTCGTTTCTCTTTGTATGTTTCCTGATTGGCTTCTTTTATAACAAACTCAGCCCTATACTTTGCATCCCTGTTGCTGGCAGCAGCATTTCCAGGCCTTTGTAAGGGAAAATCTCGAGCAGATGAAGTCAGAGACTGGCTGCTCTCTCTGTAAGACTTGTGTTTCCTAAGACTGAAAGAAGCTGGATTTCCTTTATGCCTTCACCTCTTCTCATTCATTTATTTAAAACGTCAAGTTGCATTCGAGAGTGGGATGTGGTTTCTGCTTTTTAGAGAGAGATCGAAATTAAACTAGTACTGCTAAATGTCCTTTTGAATGTTAGGTCAAGAAAGCTCTGTACAGAGTCATGTACTTTATGGGCTGTAACTGTCAAACTTGCCTAGATATTAGAAATCAAATCCCATCATAAAGACTTTGCAAGACAAACTGTAAACCATGGTTTCTAAGGCCTAGATAACAGTCCATTTGTGTCAGCATTTGATACAATAAATGTTAACAGAAGACTTTGAATAGTTGGAATTCATTGTAATGAGATTTAACTCATAAGTCAATGGATTTTTTTTTTCTCTCTGCTCAACTATGATTGCCAAATCTATTCCATGTTATCACTATGGAAATAAAGAAGAAGATGTGGATCTTGCACAAGGCTCTTTTCTGTGGAGAAAACGTGGTGGATTTGGGGCATAAGGCTTACCTTGGAGACAGAACATGGAGTGTTTGAGGCAGAGGTGAGGATAGAAGCACAGAGATTTGGCATCCGAATCACACTTGAACTCAGGTACTCTGATCTGGACACTGATGCTGGCAGAGATGCACAGCTCAGCTGTTAAAGGGGCAGCTAATTATTCCTCCAGACCCCTTGTCAGCAGAGCCATCACTTGTTTGATTTCATGACAGGACTCCTTATAGAGCTGGTCCCTGAAGTTAGCAATTAGTACTGCATGTTACATGTCAGGTAATGTGTGAGAGTAATTTGATTTAGATCTGTCAGAAAAAGGAATATTATTCTTCAAATTATTTTATACTTCACATCTTTCTTACTAAGCTTCCTCTCCTAGTAGTTATTTTACATTATGGGAAGGATTTGGGCAAAAATACAAAATCATCCAAGGGGAACATTTAGTAGCCATCAGTTTACATTGAATTAGCAACGATACTGACATAAACTTGGTAAATTTTTTTTTTAACCTTAGAGCTAAGCTCAGTGCTTGCTGGTTTTTCTTATTAAAAATCTACTTGGGAAAGCCTTTTTATACAGAAACTTAAATGGCTATAGTAAAAGAATTGGGCTTTCTGAGAGACAAGAAAATATATGTGATAAATGGTTTTTCTGTTTGTTCTGGAAGTCTTTGTTGAAAGTGAACTTAACATATATATGTTTCTGCAGTATGTAAACAAGAGAGCAATAAAACCCAGCTCAAGCAATACTAAGCTCATTTCCTAAGAGAACCTACTCATTCTTAACCCAGAGCTGCCATTGGATTCAAACCACCTGCTTTCAGGTTGGTAATACAATTCCTTTACCCACTAGGCCACCAGAATTTATTGTCTGGCACTATTTTCCTGTTGCTTGCTATCAGGATTCCAGTTTGACCCAAATAAAGATCAACTAAGTATTTCAAATATGTAGGACTTTAAAAATTTCTTTATCTGATGGCATTAGGTTTGAAGACAAGCCAGACCCACTTGCTCTAGCGTAATTGGTGGATTACAGAGAAGCAACAGCAATACAGGAAAATCCTCATTTTGTTTATCCTGGATTTTTTTTCTCTTTCTCCATTCTGGTTTTGTTTCTTTTTTATTCTATTAAATCTTTCAAATCTAGTTAGTTTGCTCTGGATATTATTACCATAGTCTTTTAAGAAAATAAGGAACAAAGCAAATCAATTTAAGAAAATAAAGAACAAAGCTATTTTGAATGTCAAAATACATGAGAATTTTGCCAGATTATAAATTCCTTAGAGTTTAGAATGTAGATGGCCATCACTTCAGAGCACTTGAGTCATTAAGATAATTTGCTTCACAAAGAGTGAAGTTGATGTGGCTGAGCTGCAGAGGGCTGTGGTTAAACAAAGGTTAAATCAAGAGGTATCTGCCACTTTGGTATCAGCAGACAATGTAGCAGGGATAAAATGTCTTCAGAATGCATCTCTGCTGAGTAAATTGTCTGCCTTTGTACCAAATTCTTGTGCTTTTACCTACGTAAAAAAGCTTTGTTGTAGGGAGCTCTGGTGGCCTATTGGCAAGAAGCTGCACTGCAGTCCCAGAGGTACATGGTTTGAATTCACCAGACGCTCTGCTGGAGAAGGAGGAACAAGCTCCTCCTGTACCAGTCAGATTCAATTTGACAGTTGTTGTTGTTGTTGTTATGTGCCGTCAAGTTACTTGCGACTCATAGCGACCCTATGTACAACAGCCCTAAACTCCGCTCTGTCCTGTGCCAATCGCACTGTCTCTGACACTCCCGTCCCAATTATCCCAGTCACTGAATCAATCCACCTCATAGAGGGCCTTCCTCTCCTGCGCTGTCCCTCCACCCTCCCAAGCATGATATCCTTCTCCAAGGACCTGTCTCTCCTCACAACATGTCCAAAGTATGTTAGACGGAGCCTCAGAATCCTTGCCTCCAAGGAGCCACCCGGTTTAACCCTTTCCAGGACAAATCTGTTTGTTTTCCTAGCAGTCCATGGTATTCTCAATACTCTTCTCCAGCACCACAGCTCAAAGGCATCAATTCTCCTTCCTCCTTGGTCATTGTCCAACTCTCTGATGCATAACAAGTGATTGTGAAGACCATGGCCTGTATCAGACGCACCTTAGTCTCCAGAGAGACACCATTGCTCTTCAGTACTTGAGAGCTTTCCCATGGCAATGCGCCTTTTAATTTCCTGGCTGCTGGTGCCAAGAGCATTGACTATGGAGCCAAGCAAGCTAAAGCTGTGTACAATCTCAATCTCTTCACCATCCATCCTGATGCTGCCAATTGGTCCAGTGGTGAGAATCTTTGTCTTGTTGACATTGAGCCTCAATCCGTATTATAGGCTGCAGTCCTTGACACTCTGAAGCGCCAGTACACACACACAAAATAATAAATTTATTTTTTTAAAAAAAAAAAGCTTTGGGTTGCCTCACTTTTAGAAATTGATTCTAAAAAACAACAACCCAGCCTTTATACAGTCCTAAATTAATTGGCTCACACAACCTTGTATATGCACAGGAAGCCATCATGTGTTCTAAAGTGATTACTAATGGTGATTACCTGTAAAACTGATTTAAAAGAAGAGCCATTTAATTCACTGGGTTTTATGTTTCTACCATCTATTTTGTATTCAGAAGCATTTTTTTAAATCCCTTTGACATTTTGAAAAATTCTGACGTTCTCCATGAATTCACACTCATCTTTCTTATCTCAGCATCTCAGGGTATTTGTTAAGTGTGGTTCAAGGAGGAACTAGAATTAGAACGATCCAGCGGTCACTAATGAGATGATGAACATTTACTGTTTTAACATAGCTCCTGCCTGACCTATATTTTGGGTAGCTATACATCAGCCTTAGTTCTGAAAGCAGAAGTGTCACCGAGCTAATCATGATACTCACTGAAGCTTGTATTAATCTTTTCAGCTGAGAGAACTTATGAGAGAAGCAGCTCTGTCTCACAGAGGCCAGCTCACTCTTCAGGCTCCACTCACTGGTGGAAAGGTGCTTTCTCCATATTAATTGCACTTCCTTCAGAAGGAAATGTTTAAAAGCCTATTAGGGCTCAGTTTTCATTACATTCATTTGGTATTAAAATTCATGCTAATGCCTTGCCTAGAACCAAAAGTAGAATTCATCTTCTTTTGCCAACTCAGAATTTCACGTCTTTCAGATTCCTGTTCTTTTTATAGTGCTCAGCCTTTTCTTCTGGTGTCTCTGGGTGATGGAAATGCATTTAACTGTTAACTGGAGAAGTTGGAGGTGCTAGTCCATGCAGAGGCACCGGAAGAAAGGTCTGGTAGTCTGCTTCAAAAAATGCAGTGATTGTAAACCCTCTGGAGCACCGATCATGGGGTATAAACCCTCCAGAGCACACACCCTGGGGTGTAAACCCTCCAGAGCACACACCCTGGGGTGTAAACCCTCCAGAGCACAGACCCTGGGGTGTAAACCCTCCAGAGCACAGACCCTGGGGTGTAAACCCCTCCGGAGCACAGACCCTGGGGTGTAAACCCTCCAGAGCACAGACTCTGGGGTGTAAACCCCTCCGGAGCACAGCCCATGGGGTGTAAACCCCAAGGAGCACAGGTCATGGGTTTCTGTGAGTCAGCATCAACTCTTCAATCACTAGGGTAACTTTTTCTTCATGTTGGGCCCCTCGAAAGGAGGCTGATCTAATGACTGTGTGCACAGTGTGCCAGCAGTGCTGCCTGTAAGATATTACATGATGATCCTGAAAAGGGAAACTAAGTCACAAGATTCTAAATCCAACCAAACCCCGAAGCTTGCTGCCATCCAGTCCATTCTGATTCACTTCCCAAGGCGTTGCATCTTTGACAGCAGGCTGCCACACAGTGCACATGGTAGGTTAAATCTTTTGGTCTGTATCTGAGTGCTGTAATCACTGCACTACCAGATAGCTTCCTCGAGAGATTCTTGTTATCTGCGGTTGAGTTAGAGCTGATTTGTAGCTGACCCCTTCAGCGGGTTTTCAGAGGCAGTAAATCCCATGGGAGGAGGCTGTCCATCTTTCTCCCATAGAGCAGCTGGTGGATTCGGACTGCATGCATTCCTTCACATTGGCAGCACAGCTCCTTACCCTCCATACTGTATTTGTTGTTATGGTGTACCATCTACTCATAGCTGCTGTTCCAGCAGCTCTTCAGAGGGGGTAAATTGTTTGGGAAGAGGTTGTCCATCTTTCTCTTGTGAAGCAGCTGATGGATTTAAATCATATACTTCAGGATTGGCCATAAAGGTTCTGATGCCTTTTTTAGTACTATACCACCAGAGCTCCCTCCTCAGAAGATCTTGTTTGTTAGATGCCGTCGAGTAAGACTCATAGTGACTCTATGAATTAAAGATCTGAACTCTGTTCCATCCTGTGCCATCCTTAGA